CTTGTATGTAGTTGACTGCGTACAATATTCAAGTGCAGTTGCTGATACAAATTTTCCTGGTCAAATAAGTAAGACTTAGAGAATATTGACGACTGAAAACTACTGATCATGCATGTGATTTATAACAGTCTAGAATATTCTCAATACTATTGTGTATATGCGCTAACGAATTTAACACATTTTCATGCGTGATAGTTCGTTAAAACTTTAACGATCTCACCAAAAAAGATGTTACAATTTTGATCCTGAAAACGTGTTAAAAAATGTTATTGTTAACGTTGAAACACGCGTTAATTTTTTGCATACTTAACGCGTTTTCACGATCGAAATTGTAACATTTTTAATCGTTAAATCGTTAAATTTTTAACGAATTTTCACGTCACAAAACTTTATTAAATTGTCAAAAATTTTTACATGGGTTTCTCGTCTTTAAACAATCATGAATAATTCGTTCTATTGTATCATGAGAGAGAGTAATCTCAGCTATGATATCATCATAAGTTGAATGTAGATCATCTTCAATAACTTGCCAAACGCGTTCAATATTTTCATCTGTAAGTACCGAAACCGGACGATCAGATCGATAATCATTATTAACATATTCTCTCTCTTGACGAAAACGTTGTGTACATCTTCTGACTGTTCGATCTGATGGAGTGTCAGATCCTAACGCTTGTGTAAGTTCTTCATAGATTGTTTTTGCATCTATTCCCAAAATAGTCCGAATTTTTAATATAGGATCAATCATAGTCATTAGTCATGTTTAACAACTTTTTTAAAAGTTGAAAAAAGATTTTGTCACGATTTCAGATAGGATTCGATATTGAACAGAAACCACGGTTTGAAAGAGTTGGCTTATTTACACGAGAAAACTGACTGAACTGAATGAACCAACTAAACAAATGAATTGACAATGAACCATTCCTCACTCTATATATACTATCGAAATGTAATATTCTAGAACATGACATCGGAAAATATCACACGAGAGAGAAATGAAAAATGTGGAAAGTTCCAGAATATACTCATACGTTATGGAAGGAATAGTCAAATATTTGTGTAGTCATTATATTATAGATTTTATCTAAAATAATACTAGAATTAAATTCAAAGTAGAGTTGTTGTATGCATTATTATATACGAAGCATTTTACTATATATTCATGCAATAAAACCTTCGATACTAAGTGTTTTATAAAATTTAAAATGGCGTGGTCAGAACTTTTGGTATGCTCTAACTATCTAAAAACTCACGCTACTATAAGTAATGTCTGTGCCAAGAGATATACCAATGTCACATGCTATCACCAGTATGTAACAGCATCCTTGACTTATTTTACTCTTATTTCATATAATCCTTGTATGATGTTAACCCTGTATCTTTACGTGATACTGTTCATAGTGTTCAATACTCTTTCAATACCTTTGTAACCGCTGCGCTATTCATTGTATATATGCTCATTGTTCTCTTTTCACTCCGAGAGGTTATTGCATCACACAGATGCAAGGATAAATCGTTGAGAAGGAGAGAGAAGAGAAGAGAACAATCGAGAATATTCTCAAAGGATATTGTACAGCGTGAAGGATACAACTTACTCATGGATATACATCCTTCTTAGATGGTATATATATGTTGATGTACAAATGATAAGAGTGAGATATACTGTGAAGCAGATATAGTGTGATATACTTATAGAGTATATGTTATATAGAGTGTATCATATAGAGAGTTTAGGTATATATAATGTGTGTGTTAATATCAAGAGAGAAATAAAATTACATACAACAAGTAATGGAATTGAGGTTGAAGAAACGAGAAACCAAACAAGGCCTTAAAATACGTGATCCAACTACGCGGTCATTCATCTTTCTTCATCGTATCCTCCACCGTATCATTATTACTATTCCTATTATTCAGTTATTATCTATTTTCCGTTATAATGTCAATTATCTTCACTATTCTTCGTTGTAATGAATTTTGTGTAGATAAATGTATTTTGTTTATGAGTTGCTTTTTTTACATCATTTGAACAAGTACAACAAAGCTAAAAGCCATCTGATCATTGGCAGCTTAAGAAACTGTCGAAAAATGTTCTCTGATTCGCTTTCAAATTTTTTCATCTGTAAATTCATACTCTGCTATTCGTTTTTGTACATTATTTGCAAAATTACCGGTCATATTTCATCCTAATGGCTTGTTTTTTGGAAATCAGCTGATAATGATAAACTCAAAAAGTCTTACTCTCAACTATTTTCTTTTTATTCAAATAACAGTTCTTCTTTCTTGACTGTTTATCCTTATTATTTCATTATTTGTTATCAATACAAAAAAGTTTCGTAATAAAGAAAAAGATTACTATATTGTTGAGGAAAGCAATCCATCATTATTTTTACTCATGATTACCATTATTATATATAAAGCAAATCATTGGTTTTTTGAATTTAAGGACCATCGAATCCCTAGCCTTCATTCTCAAGATTGTCTACATATTATTGTTCATTGCGTCTTCATACGTTAGAAAATATCAACGCAAAATTGTCATGTGATACAAAAGAAGAAAATCGTATGTGTACGTGCTCTCATATTTGATTACCTGCATGTGTGTCGTTTATGTAAAACAACTGGTGAATGTATTCTTTTTTTTTCTTTTCATATATTAAGTAAAAGCAGTATTCGTTGTGTATATTAATGAGTGACGAAAATCATCTACCTATGGGCTCAGATATCTGAATACCTACGTGTGTCTCGTTAATGTAAGAGAGTTGATCAATATATATTTCATCTTCTCTCTTCATACATAAACTAGAATGATCATTCATTACGCACAATGCGAAAAAATGGATTATATACAAGCTCTTCTATCTGACTGCTTGTTTCTTTTCGCTAAGGTGAAGCAAAAACAATCTATGCATCA